AGAGTAGCAGAAGTTTGGGGGGAGAAAAGGGGAACTGAGCACAATGATTGATGTATTAAAGTGCCCCCCACCCACCCACTCAAGGTGGACAAACAACAGAAATGTGGGTGAAGGGAGACAGAGGATGATGTGAGATATTAAAACAATAATTTATAAATTAACAAGGGTTCATGATAGAGGGAAGATGGAGGAGGGAGGGAAAAAAATGAGGAGCTGATACCACGGGTTCAAGTACGAAGAAAATGTTTTGAAAATGATGGCAACATATGTACAAATGTGCTTGACACAATGATTGTATGGATTGTTATAAGAGCTGTCAGAGCCCCCAATAAAATGATTTTTAAAAAAAGATATAGCATCTGGGGTCTTAAAGGCTGGTAGTTAAACCAGTGGCATCTAGCAGGGAAGCAACAAAGCCCACATGGAAGAAGCCTGTGTGATCAAGAGGAGTCTACAGGAAAAGGTATCAGAAGTTAAAAAACAAGCAACTAAATCAATGTGAAGGGGCGTGGATGTAGTGGAGGCACAAAATCCATCTGTAAGAAAATTGGACCGTCTCTCCATAAGGGCCACACGGAAGGGATGATAAATGCAGGGTGCCGTATGGCACTGATGAAACACACAACTATCCTCTAGTTCTTTGATATTTTCTTCCCTTACAATTATGGTTTTTATTCGTTTTACCTCATTAATCATGTTAGACTTGTGTACGTTCATTTGTATAATTAGGATCATTTGATATATGAAAGCCAAGATAGATAACCCTTCGGAAAGAGTAACAGGAGTAAGGGCTCCCTAAGGGTACCGAAAGAGGGGTGGGGAAGGGGGTGCTGATAGCATTGATGACTGTATAACCCCACTGGGAGTGAACAACAGAATTGCATGTGAATGGATATATTGGATGGTGTAAAATACATTTGGCAAAAAATAAAATAAATAAGGGTTACTGGGAGGTAGGGTGAGGGAGGGAGGGGATAAAGGGGAGCTAATATCAAAGATTTCAAGAAGAAAGAAAATGTTTTGAAAAGCAGTTGTATAATAACACTCGATGTGATTGTACTATGAAATGTTATGATCTGTAAGAGCTTCCAATAAAATGATTAAATAATAATAAAAGTTTTTTTAATGCACCTAACAGTACATAAACAATGAGACCCAAAAAGTCTGAGCTTGTTCTGTTAAAACAAGTCTTCTTTTTGGCTGTGTGCTTTTTAGTGACTTCATGGTCTTTGGTTAAGCTGTGTACACTTTACCCACATTGTTAGCTTTATCATCATTGAAAATAACCAGGGTCTAGTACCTTGAGAGAGATCCCTCCCACAAAACTCCTTACCTACACTGATAATCACTAAGAGCACTCTACTTGTACGCCTATTTTTAATCTTTTCCAAATAGTGAGATCAGACAGCAGCTGGCCTTTTGCGATATTTTACTCAGTATAATATCCTCCAGATTTGTTCAGTTTACATTGTGAGAATTTATCATTATTCTTTATAGCTGCAAACTGTCCTATTACATGTATGCACTGTAGTTTGTTTCTCCTTTCATTCAATGACAGGCACTTAAATATGTCTTTTCTAAAAAAGGAACATTTTATGCACATCCAATTACAATTTGTTTTCTATTTTATGGAATGGAATTCTGTTTATGTTTCGTGGCACACTTTCATCCTTTATTAATTCTAGGTAGTTTACCCTGGTACTAGAGTCTGGTGTAGGATATTTTATAGAGAACAAACAAAACAGCTACTTACAAAACGGGAATTCCCAAATGCCTGATAGAACTATTTTCCCTCCCCACCTTCATTTCTGTCTTGAGGGTGACTGAGTTAGGTAACTTATTAGCAATGTGAATGTTAGCACGTTAGTGCTTCTATAAGCATTGCCTCATAAAAGCCATAATTCAGGAGGGTATCATTGCCTTGGAATCATTGCTAAAGATCCATAGCAGGTAAATTAAGACCTGATTCATTCCAGGTTATGGAGACTCCTTAGACATCCTGGAGGGTATTTCCCATTATTTGCTAGCAAGCACAGCGACTGATTTCTCCCTCAGGCTAACCCACTAATGCATGCATGTGTCTAGCGATGTGAGTGTTGGAGCGGTGTGCACACGTGTGTGTACATGAGTGGGTGTGGCACAGTTGAGGGGATAAGGAGTAATGGCCTTAAATCACTCCTGAATTGAAAGCGAATACCCACTGCTTCGGAAACACGTGTTCAAACAAAGTGTTATTTCATGAATATAAGGGTACTGAAAGTGAAGCGGAACACCTATCCTGAGTTGGGCTGCTAGCCCAGTTCTTCATCGGAAAAAGATGAAAGGTGAGGCTATTTGCTCCCATCAAGATTTATCGTCTTGGGAACCCCCCAAAATACCTAGTTCTGCTCTGTCCTATAAGGTCACCAGGAATCAGAATCAACTCCGTGGTGTTTTCCTGTTATCAGTCACTTACACGAGCATTCTACAATGACCTCATACTCCTGATGCTGTGCCTCAGGAGTGAATTTTAACTGGTGAAAAATGTAAGAAATTACCATTAGAATCAGAATTCGAGCCATGTTTATTTAATTTAAATATTTTTTCAGAAGTGGAAATACTTTGGATGTGTGCACTCAAATGCTTTTACAATGATATTGAAACTTTAGGTTTTAATCTCCCTGACAATTTTACATTTAGTTGTTTTAATGATAAACCATTCCTAAACGTAATAATAGCCTTCTGTCTAATGTAGTTTTGTTTGTGTTTAAATATTCAGTAATTAATTTACCTTACAAGCCATACATGACTCCGGAAACTTTAAACTTCCCAAGTCTCTAGCACTCAAAACAATTCCACTCCCCGAATCCTTTATTACCCTGTGCATGACAAAGCAGCTCTGTCCTTACTACCAGCCACTCCAATGCTGGCTGCTGCCCTTTATCACCAAAAGCCATTTCCATGCAGAAGGAAGACTTTTTCAATAAGAACTTTTGCTTCCCTTGTCAGAGAGTTAGTTTGTTTTGTACTGTCTCTGAAACCCAAATCCATGCAGGAGATTGAGGGCAACCGGACACGGAGCCAGACTGGGGTCAGAATGTAAGCCACTCCTCGGATCTACTATTCTACTGCCAGTTACACTAGTCTTCTTGTTCTTACTTAAATGCTACATGCCTCTTCACAAAAGCCCCCTCTTTGATTCTTTAAGAAAGTTTTACCTTCTACTGAACAAATTCTTACCTATTTTTCAAGACTAAAGTCAAATTTCACATTTGTGAAATCTTTTCTGACGTCCTCACCCCCAGTAGAACACTTCCTTTCATTCTCCCTTGTCCTCCAGAACTCCTTCTCATCCCTTCCCCTTCTTTCCCTCCATCTTTCCCACAGTTCCTCCTCCTTCCCGTCCCACTCATTCGTAACACTGCTTGATGCCTGAAGGAAAGTGGTATGGGAGAGGTGGGAAGACCAGGAAAGACAGTTATTCCCAGAGTCCAGTTGCTCCCTGAACATGGTCTACAGAAGTGAGCCCTTACAACAACTTGGAGGTAATAAGTTAAAATGATGGCTAATTTCAATGAGAAATAGAAGCATCAGCATTGTAAAATATGAAACTTTGAAGGAAAAAGCAAAAGTGGAACTTAGTTTCATGTACTCAGTCCCCCAGGAATCAGCCAACTACTAATACAGCTGTGCGGCAGGCGGGCTCCCCTGCTATCAGCATATGGCATCTGAAGGCCATGCAAACAAGCAAAAACAATGGAAAGTCCTGACCTGTCCTCAGATGCCCAATAAATGCAGACTCACGTACCTCACAATGATTGTTAGGGTGACACGAGCAATGCTTTGGAGAGACAACTCTAGAGTATATCGAGGGCATTTCAGGGGGGCTTCAAAAGTTTGGGGAAAAACTCCATTATCTTTCAATTCCATGAACTTTTTAAAGCCCCCTAGAAATAGAGACAGTTATAAGGGCATTAAGAGTCTTTGCCGAGGCAGTAAAGTCTTGAATGAGGCTGTTAAAATGGAAACAGAAAAAAGATTAAGAAATGAAGAATA